GATGCTCTTGGAATGTGCAATAAAGATATGACACCAAACATTTTCAAACTCCTAGAAATATTGGTCGTTCTACCTGTTTCAACGAGTGCAAACGAAAGATCCTTTTCGACTTTGCGCCGTTTGAAGACTTATTTACGCAACTCAACGGGAAATAATAGAATGAATGGATTTGCGCTCTTAAGCATTCATAGAAAATTTACCCCAGCTGTCGAAGACATTTTAAACGAACTTGCAAAAAAACCCCGTCGTTTGGATATTACAGTATAAATCAATAAATTTTTAGCGTGTTTGTATACTGGTTTAATTCCCTATTTGTTGGTATGTCACTTTTTAATTAAATTCATTGGTTTTCTATGGAATATTCACATTTATATGGTTATTATTTAGGTAGCTGTTACAGTATGAGTAGTTTTTTCTGGCTTGATTTATTCCTACTTTTTAATAAAAATAAAATATTTTACTTCTTATTATAAAAAAAAATTATATTCTTAAACTTAAAAAATAAAAACAAAATTTAACTAAACAATGTTGTCGAAATAAAAAGTCAAAATTGTCCAGCTGTCTAAATTAGGGAAGTAATAGTGCTTTATTACATACTCGAATTTCTTTTAGTAATTTCTGAAAATTATGAACCCTTGAAAAAATTCTGCGTACGCCACTGACTACGCAGCAGTCTTTGCAGAAATGTGCAACTCATCGAATGCAATACGTTAAAAGCGCATTTCATCATAATTTCTGATCCGATAACCTTATAAAGCAATAAATTGTTCTCCCGATCGGTTGTGGTAGACATAGGATACGATAACGATAAGTATTATTCGAAACAAACAAAAAAATAAATAAAAATAATAATGGAATATTAACTGCATATAATTGTTAGAAAAAGTCAAATGTGCAAAAACGATAAGATGATAAGTGCATTTTCGATGCAAAAGTTCTTAAACTGTCATTTGACCGGTTATGATATGTTTAGTGTTAAATATGATCGAATCACAGAGAAAAATTATTACATTTTATTTTGTTTCCTTATTTTGACCTCAGAGATTGCATTGCTGATGCAAATTATACTTTGGTAGAGACAAATCAGAGCTTTGTTGGTATCTACTAACCATAACAGGTTTTCGTAGTTTTTAACGACATTTTGCGTAAATGCTGGTTAGTTTCCCTTTAAAAAATTCTTCTCGAAGATGAATGCGATCTTATTCTTTAAGCATGCGCACTCTTGCCATCAAGATTCAAGGCTAAGAAATTGAAAATAAAAAAAAATCTGCATATCCCCGGAGTGAATTGGTTGTTCAACGCTAGGAATTTGTGAATTGGTGACTTAAAGTATGAAGGAAAAACAGAAGTTGCGTAACAAATTATGATCGCGTAGTTTTACTACGTTCGGAAAAAAAATATCTAAAACAATTTCATAAACATTTTTATAAATTAAAAAAAAAATTCTTATTTGCATGAAACTGGTAACTTTTACTGAAGAAATTGAGATAATTAATGTTCTTTAACAGCTTCTGACACTTTTTGTATTAAAACTAGTAAAAATACTTTTGTTCAGTGTCTATTTAAGAGAATTCTTTTTTAAATCTATAATTACCAAATTCTTGACTATCGCCAATTTAAGCAATGAATACCGAAAAACTTCTACTCAACGAATGTTGAACTGACGCTGCCTTTTTGGTCAATTTTCAGACAAACAAAGCTGATAAAGCTTGATGCCAGTTTGTTCCAAATTGAGGTTGTTAAAATTTTATTTCTTGAATATAAAATTAAATATATGTACATTAATTTCAGCGTTGCAAATAAAATTATGTTCGTCTAGAAATAATAAAAATCCTCCATCAAAACAAACAATGCTACGCACAAAAATCATTAAAAATCCTTCTTTATAAAAGAGTTAGGGTTAAATTACATATCCCAAAAATTTAACTTCACAAATATGCAAAAAATACATTACGATTAGGCGAAGTAAAAAAAAACGAAGAACGTATAAACTTCAAAGCTCATTTGCTCAGATTCACTAAAATGTTCCTTATTTGGTTCTTTTACTAAGCTTTTCATTCATAGTTTACATACATATTGTATATACCCAGATGATCACGTACATCCATACATTCTATGTACATATGTACATTATATATACATAAATTTTATGTATATACTTTTATTGTATATATATCATACATAGATCTGATTAGTGGAATTCCAGCGGTAATCGTAAGCTTTGATTACTTGTAATTACGATCGCATGTAATCTCGATTACCTTAAATCATATAATTTGATTACTTATAATCATGATTGCATGTAATAATATATTTGATTACTTGTAATCGTTCTTGATGCGATTAGAAGTAATCATGGCCATGTGTAATCAGTTATCATGATTACTTGTAATCGTAATTATCTGTAATTTCGATTACATGTAATCGATTACATAGTAAAATGATCTGTAATTAATTATAGTTGTAAACAATTACTGTAACACCCAAATCTGGTTTGAAAAACAGAATCAAATGTTATGTCTATTTTCTATACAGTGCATTTTAAACTATGTTCTATTTCATAAAAAAGCATTTAGAGCTATGTCCATTTTCGTAAACACGCATTTCCAGCTATGTTCAGATTTAAAAACTCGCCGTGAGGCTGTTTCCCTAGAGTTAACATAGCAAAACACACCTCTCGTATATTTTACCTCTATTTTTGGATTATTAACTTAGAATATGGGTGTTGGATTCCCCAATTAGTATTATGTCACGAAAATTACTCTCCTTATTCATGATTTAATTCATAATTATCATAGCAATGACAGTAAAATAAGTAATATTTACAGGATCCCATGAACTTGTTGAATTTCTTGACTGTAGTATATCATTTGATTCCTCAGGGAAAACATTATTTCCGAACATTAGCATGTTATTTTTATGACACTTGGAATTTTCAATTGTATCATTAAACGTTTTGTTGGATTATAAATTTAGAATATGGGTGTTGGATACCCTAATTAGTGTTATGTCACAAAAATTACTCTTCTTATTCCTAATTTAATTCATAATTATCATAACAATGGCAGTAAAATAAGTAATACTTACAGGATCCCATGAACTTGTTGAATTTCTTGGCTGTAGTATATCATTTGATTCCTCAGGGAAAACATTATTTCCAAAAATTAGCATGTTATTTTTATGACACTTGGAATTTTCAATTGAATCATTAAAAGTTTTGTTGGCAGAATCTTCATTAAGTTTTTCAACATAATTTTTCTTTTCGGAATCCCAGTGTAAATCTAAAAAATATGGAGAAAGAAAAACATTGAGTCAAAATTGTTAGAAATTTTTTTGAGAGGCTCTACAATTTATATTAGACATTATAAAATGAAATTAAAAATGAATATTGCATGCATAATTGCTTACATTCAAAATGCAAAAATAATAATTAAGAAATTCGAAATTTTCATTCGGCTGAATATTTTAATTCTCAACTAAAGTAAAACACTAAAAGGGGAGAAAATGCTCTGTTAAGGAATTAATGTGTTTCAAATCGATGATAAAACAGGTTAGATTTTAAAATTCGAGATCTTCAGTTGCCAAGCGTGTGCGTCGATGATAAGTTGAAATTGCTATTCGTGATTCTAGTGAAAATAAAAACGTTTAGAGACGTTAAAATCTGAACTGAATGAGGAAAAAATTGTTGAATAAACTTAAATCCTGAATTTTATAAGCATTGAGGATGGTTATTAGAGAAACGTATCTAGTGCCTTTACAGTGGAATTTTGTTTAATTTATTTTTTATTGAAAGACAGTAAGAATAACTGCAGTGTTCCTATATATTTATTTTTATTTTCAAAATTCCCAATTCGTCATAATTAAAAGCAATAAAAATTAAAAGTTTATTCTCAATATAGCTTATTTATTTATTTAAAAAAAAAGAAGAAAGAAACGTATTTAAAAGTTATTATCCTAAATAATGAATTTTTGAAAAATGGACGATGTTGAATTAGTGGTTAAATAATTAAAATTAAACAATATAAACTGAATTGCGTCAGGTAAAAGCAATTCATAAAATCATAGAAAACACGACTGAAAAAAGTTTTAATTGAAAGTGTGGGAAAAACGGCGATTTCGACGTTACATTTTCAAACTCACATTTTTAGAAATACTAGTTTTTTCGTATGCTGACCCGAAACCGGAAGTAAACTCCCGAAAACGAATCTATAATGTTTTTGTTATGCTTTTAGTATTTCAACCTTTTTTTTTATTTGAATAAATCATATTTTCGGGACAAATAAAAATTATTTTTAGATATTAATTTTTGAATTATAAATTTTTTTGTTATCAGAATTTTCTTACATTTCAGAAATTTTTTTTCGCATTTTAAATGCATTTTTTGAAGAACGTTGATTTTGGGAAAAATTCTTCACGCTTACACACATTACAAAAAAGTTTGTTATAGAATTCTTTGAAATGTTGTATATAGATTTTGTATAATGTTAGCGGTATTTTGAACTAAAAGCTAAGATCTAAGTGTGAATTTTATATTTTTATTAAGCCTTAAGTAAAAATATTTAGAGTTTTTCTTTAAAAATTCAAGATTAAGCAATATATTTAGTTTCAATTTCTTTGTCTTTTGAAAGTTTTTTTCGATATTTTAGCTCAAAACAGAAGTAAACGCATTGTTGATCTAGAAAAAAAAATTATTTTGAAATTTATGCTTTACAATTGTTAGCGTGATATGAAAAATTAGTAGCTCATATTTACCCTCATTTTGAAAAATATTTTATAAACTTTTAAATTTTACTTTAAATTTATAATTTTAGAAACACTGCTTACCAAACATAAGATATTAAATTTTAAATAAGCCTTTTGTGAAAAAAAATTATGTCCAAATCACTCGGATACTTAATTTTAAAAATAAATAAATAATGAAGCTTAAATAAAAATTTAACACAGATTTTTACAATTTATGCACATGAATATTTTAATTAATTTAAATTTATTAGTTTCTTTTTTCTAAATAAATTGTGTTAATACATACTTTACACTTCACTTATTCTTCATTTACATGCATACTTTTGCTCTCAATTCTTCTAATTTTAAATTTTTAAAAAAAATTACATTTGATATTGAAAATTATATTTCAATAATTTTTTTTAAAATTCTGTTCTTCCATCTAACAGCAACTTATTACACTGAAAATAGTTATCATGTGTCAGTGGACAAAAAATGAGAATTCAATTAAAATGCTTCCTTTATTTTAATGCTAAAGGTAAATAAATAAAAAAAATGAGTAGTTATAAAAATCAAGTCCATTCAAATATAAATGCTACCAAAAATGAAATAATTAAAAACTCCGAATTACAATTTAACGATAGTGAAATGTTTTCATGATAAAGATTATTAAATAAATAAAAAATACTGCATAGCTATGTATAAAAATATATTCAAATAATTTAATATAATATTTAAAAATGAAACATTAAAACATAAATTTTAATAATTAAAGTATTTGCTGTATAAACATGAACTTTACGAACACATAAAATGAAATATTTATTTTCTTTATTTATTTATTGGTATTATTTCGAAATTATTTAAAATAACTTTAATTCTTAATCTTTGTTTATTGGAAAATATGATAATGGAAATATGACATAATAATAACAATATTAACATAAAATATTTTTTAAAAGAGTATCAATATCAATAGAGTTTTGAAGATAACTTCTGATGTGAATAGATAAGAAAAAAAATTTTTTTTGTCAAAATTTTAATTATAGCTACATTAACGCGTAGGCATAAAACACTTATTTTTTTAATTTTTTATATTCATATTTTTCCTTTTAAGCTGATATTTGATATTCTAGTACAACTTTGTGTAGGGGTAAAACGTAAGTTTATAGATGTTTTGAATTCAAGAGTTGAATCAAGAGAAGTTGAATGATTTCTAAGGGCATTTGTGTTTTCCAAGCAAAATATATTATAATTTTAAAAAATTACTTTTTTTAAAACCTTCAACTTTTATATTTTTTCACTTGTTTTAATTAAAAGTGTCATGAAATTCTCATGCATGCAATAACTAATAACTCATTATAAAATCAGAGCAATTTATTTACTTAAGGCAAAATATTTATTTTTTTTATTTTATAATCTAATAAATTTTTTTATAGATAAATAAAAAAATCTCTACAGAAAATGGATATTTTAAGAATAAAGTCGTTAAAATTTATGAAATCATAATGATTTAATGTTTTCAAAACGTTCTTAATGAGAAAATTCGTTGTATTGATACACCTTAGATTAGTATTTTCTTGAATATCATTTTGCACAAATAGTATTCCTCAAGTTTCTGGAGAGTCCAAAAAACTACATGGACTTCTTGTAAATTAGAGGAAATTGTTAATGCCTTTCAAACATGTTTCAAATATTTAAAATCCGAATTTCGCTGCTGCACGAAGAAATTGGCAATCAGATTGGTGTTCAATGAACCAATTTTGTACGCTCCTGGCACGATGCACAACGAATAACTTTTGATCTAATGATCAGATCTTCACGTTCTCATCCTTAATGGTTCGTGGGGGTGACCTCAAATGTGCTAACTAATTAGTGCAGACGATATTTCAAGTTACGAAATAAGGCACAAAAACTTATTTCATTGGAATTCTAACCCCCAAGATATAAGGGGGAACTTGGGAAACATGGTTTCCATAGTTTGGTCAGGAGAGCGATTCAAAGCTTGGTCCCCTTAATGTTGATTTACTTTTTGCATTTGTTTTTTGCCATATTTCGAGCTTTGATTATAACTTTTTAAGCGAATTGAAAATTTTTCGCACAGAATTATAGAACTCGTTTCTCCAAAGATATTTCCATGCAAAATATAATTTTTAGTGAATATTTATCATTTTATTTAATAACAGTTGAAAAAATTTTGAGTTGTAAGGTATACAATTTTTTAATTTCATTTTAAAGTGCATAATTTTATATGTCAAAATGCAAAGTTTAAGTTAAATCAGTTGAATACTTCCTGAGAAATCGAATTTCAAATATGCGACTACTTTAAAATTCGATTTCTCGGGAACTATTCCACCAATTTCGTTCAAATTTTGCATTTGTCATGTAAAATTACATACTTTAAAATTATGTAAAAAAATGTATACCTTACAATTCGAAATTTCTCGACTATTATTTAATAAAATAATAGAAAAAAAATGATAAGAAAGTACGAAAATGTAATTTTTGCATTGAGTTTTCTTTAGAAAAAACGAATTTCTAATTCAGTGCAAAAATGTTCTCGAGCTGTAGCGAAATACGCAAACAGTAAAATTAGCATTAAGGGGTTTAAACTTTTTATCGATCTCCTTTTTATTGTCCTCCTATGGGGACCATATTTCCCAGATTGCGACTACCCATAAATTTCGGCTGTTCAGAAATCCGAATACGTTGAAAGAAAAGGTATGTTTATTCAGAGAAAGTACGTTTTTGTGTCTGACTTCGTAACTTAAAATATAGTCTGCACAAATTAATTAGCATATATGAGGCCACCCTTTCGAACCATTAAGATTGAATCCTAGAACGTGATGATCCGATCATTATATCAAAAGTTATTCAGCATGATCCGTTTTTTTTGGGTCACTGTGCTGTTTCATTATCGTCCATGAATATCCGTCATCCTTTGAGTAAAAATGCAACCCTCTAAGGATGAATTTGATTTGCCAATGTGTCCAGGTGTTGCATGGCTTTTTGCATTCCCTTTAGAAATACCAAGGCACCACTCCAGACCAGCAGAACATGTATGATACTCCCATTAGGCAGTGCGAACAAGGCAAGAGAAAATCTCCCAAGTTTCTAATTTTTTGGTTGCTGATTGATATGAATTCTGCTTCTGGCTTGCACCGACCACAGTGCTGACGTAAAAGTATCCTCACTGGTAGACAGATCATGAGTTAAAAATTAATTTGCTGTGGAATATTTTCGTGGTTTTCCTTCCATTGTAACGCAAATGCGGTTTAGTTCCATTGAAAAAGTGCTCCACGAAGGCTAGTTTGTTCCAATGCTTGATCCAGAAGTTCCCTTGTCTTTTAGGTTAGGTTCAAAATCACAGATTTGAACATTGATAGCAAATTCAGAATTGGGTTGGTTGTACAACGGTTATAAAATAAACTAGAACTCTCGTATTGTCTATTCTTCCGAGGGGAGTGCAAGGTGTGCACTTTCTCCATATTTTGCGTTAGATAAATAAATAATAGGTTTAGAATAGAAATAGATTTAAACGATTCTAAACAAAATTGTTTAAATCTATTTTTAACAAATATCACTCCATAATTTTACGTCAGATGAGTCTCGATGACGTCAGATGAAAATCAAGAGTAAACTAAAATTAGTATTATGTGATTTTATTAAAAAGAATTGAAACGAAAGATTTTTTCAAAATATGAATTTAGGAAGTTTTGAGCCTTGTAAACTATATTAAACAGTTAAGAAAAGCGGCAGAGACCTGCAAATTATCCCACTAACCTAATAAGGAGATTGAATGACCTTCATCCAAAGGTAAGAGTTATTTATCGCGTGCTCTACATGAAAATCAATCTAACAGCGTTCGTGCACATTTTTTTTTTTACTCTATGTAAAACGATTAACTGAATCTGAATGGAAACGCTTCCCACATATTTATCACTTATCCCTATTTTTATGGTCAAAAATTTGATTTGAATATTATTGTATCTGTTAAATTTCTTCTAATCTCTAAAGAGGGAAAAATTTCTAAGCATAAACAACAGTTGTATCAAGGAGGAAAATTTTAGGAGAGCTGTCCCCTTAAATTGTAACGAAATAAAATAAATAAATATTCAATAATAATGAAACAATTTACCTTTTTTGTTGTTGCTATTTCTAAACATGTAACTGTTATAGATCCCTTTATCCTGGACCGAATACCCTTAAATAATAAAAATATTTAACCACCATTTTAACTGTAAGCGAATGCAGAGGAAGAGATGTATTCAAAAAATGTATTCTACTCTCCCCGATCACAGTGCGGACGTCAAATATCCTCAATAGAAGACGGATCATGGGGTAGAATCCCCTTGCCATCAAGCTAACGTGGTTTTCCTCTCCATGTAACACAAACGTGGGTTAGTTCAACCAAAAAGTCATCCGCGAAAGGCTAGTTTGTCCCAATGCTTGATACTGAATCTCCCTTGCCTTCTGGGTAGGGTTCAAAATTATAAGGCTATAAAGTTGAACAATGTTAGTTGTAAACTCAGAATTGGGTCAGCCGATCAACGTCGGTTATAAAACAAATTAAAAATATGATAAAGCAAAGAGGGAGATTTTGATGGAATTAGTCCCCTTGAATTGAGAAAAAAAAATCGTTTGCTTTTGTTACAAATTTTTAAAATATGGATAAGTAACAAGTATATTACATCGTACTTTGAAGCTCTAATAAGTAAATTATTTCTCGAGAGTGATACTTATTATCCCTTTTATTTTTAAGACCTTGAATAAGTATTTACCTGATTTAGATGATGATTCGTCACAGCTATCATATTCACTATCTTCTTCTGGTATCACTTCTAACTCATCAGTATAGTATGAGAACCGCTGAGGATCATTTACATAAGAAGATTTATTTTCAGGAAACTGTCCTTGAATATGCTCTTGTTCGTCTCCAGAGTCATCATTAAAAAGCATTTCTTCCACATAATATTCTGGAAAATTTGCTTTATGAACTACAAAGTCTTCAGATCCGTACTCTGGCTCATTACTGTCATCGGGGGAAACAGATCTAATCTCTTTTTGTTTATTTTTGAATCCTTTTCGGATTGTACCATTACTGTTACCATTCACAACTACATAATTAGAACTTTTTTTACTTGTTTGATCACATTTTGAATCTGCATTTGTGATCAAAGGCCTACTCGATTTTAAATTCTCGAAAATCCCCGAAAGTTGCGTTATTTTTAAATTGTTATCAATGGCACTTTTGGAATCGAAAAAGTCATTAGTTTGGCTAGTGTGTTTTAAATGAGATGAAGAATTGTCTGTAAGTAGATTTTCGTCAGGTGCCTCGAATGAGGGATTAAAATTGCTAAGAAGTGATGATTCTTTATTAGAGGAAACATGTTGAGATAAAAAATGATCACTTGTTGTCAATTTAGCAGTGTTTTGGCACCATGAATTGCTGTATTTTTTAACAAAGTTAGGATCTTTTTTATCTTGTCCAGTAGAAGTATTCCTTGAAATACACAGATATTTCACATTAGTTAGTATATTGTCTACACTAGGGACGTCATTTGTTGTTCTCTTTTCTGCATCAGAAAACTCACAGTCTGTTGAGTAAGTCTTATCTATTTGACTTTGAAAAAATCGTAAGTTTTCTTTAAATCCTACTGTTGCATTATTTTGAAGGGAGTTAGAAGTCATCTCAATCTTCATTAAGTGATATCTTCAAACAACTATAATATGCACCTATAAAAAAATATAATTACTGTTACAGTTTTTAACAAAAATAAAATTTTCAAAAAAATTAAGTGTGATACATTTTTTATAACTATAAATGGCACTTCAAGGAAGTAATATCATAAAATTTTTATTTCTTTAAAATTTGGCGACCTACTTCTGTAAAATTTTGGATTTTGTTAAATAAAATTACGTAAAACTAAAATTTTGTCCGAAAATATTTATACTTTAGAATTAGGCTGTTTTTTTAACTATTAATAAAATAAATAATAAAATACAATGAATAATTAAAAAAAAATAATTTTTTACTTGGAATTTTCTTGGATAAATGAGTTGTACACAAAAAGTTTGTCATTCACTTAACGAGTTCAAGAGATCTAGCGAAACACGTAAAAAGTAAAATTAGCATTTAGAAGGCCAAACGTTTAACCACACCCTGACCAAACTTTTGGGATGTATTTAACTTATTTCCTATAACAGCAGATAATCTTATTTTCCAGACTGCATCAAAGAATACTAATTCATCGAAAAAAGGTATGTTTATACAGAGAAAGTACGTTTTGAATGAGAGTGGAATTTCGAACGAATTAATCAGATAATCGATGAAGAAGTGAAGAAATAAATCTGGAAAGATATGGATCAGCGTATCAAAATATCAATGAATTAGAAAGCCAATGAATCAATAAAGCTTATCAACAAGTCGAAGAATTGCTGATTCGTTATTTTGCAGTTATACTTGTTATTCACCTATTCACTAACTGTTGTTACTGTTATTTACCTATTCATTAACTGATGTTTCTGTTATTCACTAATTTATCGTTGAATCATTGATTCGTTAAATCGTTCTTCCGTTGATTCAGTGGTTTTTTGATTCTACCATTCATTGAGTTTCAATTTCAATAACACATGATTCATTTATTCACATCTCGTTAAATCACTGATTCATTCCTCGATTTTTCTCATTCGATTTATCCATCAATACCTTTATGGACTTGTCGAACCAATGATTTACAGTTTTACTGAAATGCTGATTCGTTCATTCCTGGATTCTTTAACACACTCAAGCCCACATTTAATGCTTCTGTGATAAATTGCTTTTTTTCATTGATTCGCTGATTCATAGATTCGGTCATTTATTGATTAACTGATTTATTTAATTTTCGGATTCATTCATTCACACATTCATTATTCTTTGATTCGTCAACTCATTCGTTAGTTCATTGTCCTGTTGAATTTGTCCAGTCTTCAAATTTCTAATTCATTGATTCGCTTTTAATCGATTTGATGATTTAATGATTTGCTCATTCTCTGATTCACTTTTATTCTGACTTATTTGAGTCATTTGGCTTTTTTACTGTTATACATATAGTAAGATCGAACTGAAAATTATTGCATATAAACGAAATAAAATTTTAATCTTTCTTAACCTTCCTAGTAGGAACGCAAAATTAGAAATGCTTCTTAGCATTTTCACCTGTGATAGCGCGTAAAAATGGATTTCGACTATTTACTGTGACATCGAAATTAATATTGCGCATATTCCTTCAACCATTAAAATCTTATCATAGTTAGAACAAAAATTATTGAAATCTCCCTCTTTTATGTCCACTGTTTAAATTTGGTGCCCCGATTATTGAAGTTCAAAAATAAATCTAAAAGACAAATAACTATAAAAATAGAACCTGTCAATGATCGAATAACCATCCACAAAACGAGACTCATTCACCTTCCATTCATCGATAACCCAGAATTTCTGTTTGATAGAAATGCCAAGAGAGAGATATGTTACAGATCTTTTATCATTATTTTTTATTTTATTTGCTTTCTTTAATGAAGAAGAAACAGGTTAACAGATTAATCATGATTATGGGATTATAACTTATGGAAAAGTTGTTTAATCTCGTAAGCAACTTAGTAATTACTTTCAGTTAATATCTGAGGAATACGTATTTAGTTCCTTCCAAATTAGAATTTCAGTAGAGAAAATGGATTCCTTCAGATTAACCTACAGAGAATAAAATGAACTTGATTTCCTTACTTATTCAGTAACTAATTAATATTATGGAATTATTTTCATTTTAGTCATTTGAACTATTTTTATTGAGTCCAGTTACCAACTTTTTTAAGTTGTAAGTATTTTCAATACTTTTTCAAAGTCCATTATAATAGCTTAAAGAAGTTTTAAAAACACTCACAACCTCAAAATTTAAATTTTGATAGCTTGGTTCTGTAAATCAACATTTCAATGAATATAAATAAAACGAAAAATATTCCAAAATATCATTTACTTACTTAATGAATATGGAATCAATCAATACTCGCTAAAGAGTAGGATTAACGCAGATATTTTATTATTTGACATATTTCTTTCTGACGCTCTAATTACAAGCAAAAATATGTTTTGATGTTTTTATATTATAAAAAGCAGTCTAACAGTCACTAAAAAATCTGTCAGATTATTGGAATTATATTTTTACTAAAATATAAAATTCAAAAATAGTAGCTTGAAAATTTGTTTTTGATTAATTGATTGATTTTATAAATAATTGATTTTATAAATTAAAGAAATTTCAGTGACGAATAACTGTTTCTCCTAGATCTAAATAACTGCAAATTTGAAAAAGTATTGTTTAAAAGTGAGCTGTGTTTGAAAGATTTTAACTTTAATGGAGAAAAGACACCGGTGATTCATGCTGCTTTTCATAACCATAAATTATTAAAATGCTAAATAAACTATTTTTCACTTATTTTGACCTAAATTAATGCAAAATAATAGAAAAAAAGTATAAAAAAATTTTTAATAAAAATTCTGCACGAAGGGGCTGACGGTTAACGTGGAGGACAAATATAGAATCTTATTTTTGCCTGACTGAGAACTTGAATCTGTTTTTTCTAAGTTCTAAGTTTTGTTAAGTGCTTTTTTAAATCCCCCCCCCCCAAGTTTAGTGTGCAAGTTTACAAAAATTCATTTGCCCTCGATGTCTGTAGATATGCAAAAATTCATTTGTTGATAACGTCTTTTGGTTATCTATAGAGAGTTTTTCAATGCCTGTGGATTATTGCAAAGGATTTTCTTAGGACGATTTGCTACGTCATATTTTGAAAAAATAAATTAATATGTGCTAAATAAATATTACCCCTCTCCTTAACTTTTAGACTTACCAAGTAGCCCAAAAATATTTTCATATAAATTTGGGTATTAGAAATGGTATTCATCTATGATATTGTGCTCGGCATACGGTAAATATTATAGATAATATACAGTGCTTGGGTAGTAAAAAAATGAAGTAATGAAAACTTGGATAGGATATGTTTAAATAAAAATCCATTCATAAGTTGTTTCAAGTACATTAAAATCATGCGATTACAGCATTAAAAATGATATATTAGCAGCATGTTCTAAGGGAAATATGCAAAGAGCTGTTAACACAAATTATAAAGAGAACTATGCTTCAATTAACATTGCATAATGTTCTTGAATATAATTCATAACAAATTAAAAAAATTTTTATAACTACTTCCATTTCCCCGGACAATTTTCTTTCCTTTTCTAAATTTTGGAGAAAAAAAAATACTAGAAAACGCTAAAAAGACTATAAGAATTTCTTTTTTTTTTTATCACTTTTTAAGAATAAAATATTTCAGACAATACACTATTATCTTTAAACTTATCTGCCAGCATAAAACTAAAATAATAAGTCATAAAAATATTTAATTCGAATGGCAAGAATGTTTAAAGTAAATACGACAATCCGATTTAAAATAAGTCCTTTGTGTACAATAAATAAAGAAAAGATAACTAAGAAAATGGAAATAGCTCAATGAAAAATAAACACATGTTGAATAGCCCATAAAATATTTTAGGAATAGAATTAGTAGTTTGGAAACCAGTTTCTAAACTTCATTGAGGATAAAGAAAATAAAAGATCAAACCAGTTTCATGTTAGCACCTTTCGAATTCCTTAGATATTCATTAAGAATGAAAGAAAACAAAAGAATAAACGTTTGTTATGTTCGTTCGTTTAATGCATCTGTCAGGGGTCGAAATTGTGCTAAACTTACAGGACAAATACTTTTTTAACATTAAAAGAGGATCGTGATCTGTTTACAACTGAGAAGGAAGATATTGGAAGTGACACTCGCCTATCGGGCAAAATTTTTTTTACAAATTATTTTTTATGTTCTGAAGTTATATGTAAAATTTATTTCATTTATTTCGAAATCATTTTTAGTTATTAATTCTGAAAAACAAATGTTTTTACCATATACTCGTCTCCAAGTTTAATTCTTTCCGTAGACGAAGAGCATTGCTGCCATAAAAGAATACTTTAATTTTAAATTAACGACTTTTCTCCTTAATCAAAATATGAAAAACTCAAAAACTTTAAAAGACCATATTTAAAAGATTAAATTAATAAACTAAAATAAAAATTCGATCATTTTGAGTAAAAAATTAGAAAATTCCTGCATAATTCAGCATTTAAGAGTATTTTTTATAATAATGATTTATTAGTTGCTGGATTAGAATTTAACGAGAAATCGTTTGAAATAAAAATTTTTGTAAGTGTCTTTAACTTATAAAAAATTAATTTCAATGTATAATATACAGTAATCAACTATAATATTTATCTCGCTCTTGGAGAAATTCCTTCGGTTCTTTACAAATAGTTTATGAGTTAAAAATTATTAGCCTTCTACTATTACAGCAATTTTTTTAAAAAGGAAATGCTGTTTTTACTGAGATATATTGTAATACTGTATATTGAGAAATATTTACGTGAAAAAAGAAATTCAACAAAAATTAGCATTTTCAATACTAATGTTATATCTGTCCTACTCTATGGATCACTACTAGATACTATGGTAAAACTTCAAGTATTTGTTAACAACAGTTAAGAAAAAATCTTATGCATCAATTGGTTTCATAAAATTTGTAACGCAGAAGTAAAATTTATATAATTTGTAACGTGGATTCGGTTTTCGGCCACCATTGCAGCTATTATTTCGAA